AGGGACATCTTAGTAGTGCCACCTGATGGTGAGCACAAAGGCTACTATCATTTGACCATTAAACGAAAGAGAGCCAGCTTGGAGGACATGCGAAAAGCTGTCTGGGCCACATATTTTCACATGGCATCAAAGAATGCCAATCCATTCCACGGCCTTTGCCAGAAGGAAGCCGATACCTGGTGCAAATTCCACAAAGACAAAGCCCAGTTGAATGGTGAACAATTCAATCATAAAGAACACCTGCCAGCATCTGCTATTAAGGCTGTTAAGCCAAAATATCTGAAACTAGCTCACCCAGAATCACTTGCTTAATGTCACTATGGAAAAACTGAAAACACTGAACAGTCAAACTGTGTGGGAGCACACTTCAAAAAATGTTTTCCTCAGGCACCAAACACTGGAAATATGCACTCTTGATGCTGTGCTCCCTTTTAATGATGGCAATATACCTCATGTGAATGTACTTAATCTTTTGGAATTTCGCCAGGGCACTGCACAGTACAAAGCCTAGCCTATGCACCCTTTACCTGCGTCGAAAGTACTTTACTGACAGGGCTGCACAGCAGGTGACAAAAGAGGCTCACCAGACAAGACGTTTTCAACACAAAAATAAAAATGATATTGATAATGAGTATCTCTGGCTGGTGCCCAATGAACAGGCCCGTCAATTTGCTGTTATCTTGTAGTACTTTTGAAACAATGCACATTTTTTACTTTGAATGCGATTATCTCAAAACATTTTTTTTGGTACTTATGTTCCTTTCCCTCAGCAAGCAGAGTATCCATAATCATAAATTTTGTCTAGTATTTAGAAACGAAATAGGCAATATGCTGCAGCATAATTATTGTGTAAGGAACTGCTCTTCTTCAACACAGCTAATAGCTATTGAGCAATAATTAGATACCTGAAGTGAAAAATTCACAAAATATTTGGATGTCAATTTTCAGCGCTAAATCTGCTTCAGTAAAAAGAGGAATGACTTATGATAACAATAATAGTAAAATAATTATTGTAAGTCTAATGGTTATGGAGAAAAAGGTAGATAAACTTTGCCTAAACACATGGCGGGTTTAGGGCTTACACTGTTTCCTTAATAGCCAAGAATGATACAAAACACGCCTTACTCCCGTGGGGAAAGCATTGTCTCACGATTGGAAGACTACTACAGAGAGCGCACCACACAGCGAGTATTTACCGTACCATAGAGATTTCGCTTGTTTAATGACGTTTGCATCGCAACAGCACACATTTATGGGATCCCCTCATTTGAAGAAGTCTATTCGATTACATGAAGTCTGTGTGCACGATTTCAGACAAAGTAGTCCCTAATTTGGAGTCGCATGTATTGTAGTTATAAGTATTATAGTTTTGGGACTTATTGAAAGGTACTGTTCAACAACACAGCCCTCAGGGTTGGAATAGACTGTGCTGCCTTGCACTATGTTTGGCATTAGCCAACTTGTTCCCTCAATACAGCGGCACGAAAAATATGTGGAACGAATTGATTTGGGCGCATCACAATACGTGTAACTAATGATTAGCTGGAGCAAAGGAATGAATGCAAAGAGGCGAGAACCCCACCAAGAATGGTTGTTCGGTGCGATAATAAAATTAAATTTGCACGCATACTACGTAATCAGCTCGCCCATGACAATGTCAATCGAAAATCATCAGGGAAAGGTCCTCATTCCACATTGGATATAAAAGAAGGTTGATAGTTATTCCTGATGAATAAACACGATTATCATTTAAAAACAAGCAATAATACTTGAAACAATAGCGAGAGCAGAAATACTTGGTCAGCGCGATTCAAAACGAAGTTGCACACCAATGACACTACATCACAAAATCCAAATGGTAGGGCTGACTAACAACCACCGCAGACAGCGGCACGATTTTCTTGCAAAAAAGCAGAATTATGACTGAGAACAGAAACCTTCATCTCGAACACATTACTTTGAAAAAAGAAAAAAAAAAATACATAACAGGAATTCGAACCGGCGACCTGAAGCATGGCCACTTCCCCAACTGCATGTCAACCCACTATGCCTCTACAAACCACATGATGGTGGTATCTGAAACGACTAAAAATTTATGGCAATGGGCCCCCTCATTTTTACCATTACACTAAGCTGATGGGCCACCTCAGTCTTTTGATAATACTGCGCTGACGAGCCCCGCCACCGTAGTCACTGCCTAACAATTATTAGGACTGTCTTTGCACAAAACCATTTATTATAGTCACATAATGTAATCTTTACATTTTGGGTAGTGCTATTTACTTTTTGTGGTCTTAAAAGAGGTCATGAACCACCCTTCGGGGTTGGTGAGAAAACAAATCCTGCAGAAAGCAAACACTGCTATGAACAGCTTAAGACCAATGTTGCAGTTGTCTGTAGCACAAAGAGCTTACAAGTGAAGTTACCACTTTCTTTTCTTTGGCATCCTTCCTCCATAGAGGGCTGTGCTCACTCTCTTTGAAGTTGCTAGCAACTGCTTGTTGACGTCAAACAGATGGCTTGCTAGTGACCAATACAGACATATCAGAGCGGCGCTCGGATCAGATGCGCTTTTTGTTGTGGGCTGCCACCAGGTTCTGGCGCCACACTCTGTACTGCTAAAATTACACAGTAGCCATACTAACATGCACAGGAATCTCAAATGAAGATAGCAATCATGATTCATCTCGCCTGCCCATAATCATGATGCGTGCCAACTTTAGGTTATTTCGCCCACACCACCCCTCTCTCTTTAGCTTCCAGAGCGCTTTTTGGGGCAGCAGAGAGAAAGCCCTTAGAGCAAGTGACAAATTCGTGAACTCTGCTCCTCTTCAACAGATAAAAATTTTGAGGCAGCTGGTTCGTAAGGTAATAAATTCAGACACAGAGGTAATTCAATTACTCATTGGAAAAGTGGTTCAGGAACCCTTTAAAGGAGCACTGACATATCTAAAAATCCAGATGAGGCCTTCCTGTGATTGCTCAGTGTGCGTTAGTCGTGTTGGCCAAATTTGAATCGAATCCGTCGTGTGGAAGTTACTTAATTTTGACGGCAAACAGCGTACGAGATTTTATTGAAAATAGTGTGCCCTGCGACATCAACACTACTGCGACGTGTTTGGTGCGATACATTCCGCACATACCACAGTGAGTGACGATGCGCTATTAGCGATGACATCTGCGACACGAGTGTTCTTATCGTGGCGCCAACTGGTACCGAAGCCTAGACCTGCACTCGCTCGTTACGTCTGACCTTGGTCGCACCACTTAGAATGATTTCGTGATATTACCAAGACTCAAACCATCTTTAAAAGAATGACGTAAGAAAAGAGTACGATTCAATGTGCACTTGTCGGCCAGCACGTCAGGCAACCGTTGCGAGTTGCAGTTGCCTCGTTCGAAGCGCGAGGGTGTCTTTTCATATCATGTATATGTTACACGCCAGTGGCGGATCTAGAAGGGGGCAGTAGGGAAGATCCCCCACCAACCCCCCATAGCTTGTCAGCACCCCTCCCCCTCTCTCCAGTGCTTGCCAACCACCAGTTAGAACATCAGCAATCACCAGTTAGCACAAGTGAGTGGGACCACTGTGTGTACGCATTAACAGTATTTATGCCATTACAAAGTCTTTGTTCTAGTAAAACTAAGAAAGTAATGACCCCGCCCTCCTTTCTGGTGTTGATTCAAGCGATCCCCCGCCCCCCCAAAATGGGTGGCTGGATCCGCCCCTGTTGCACACCAACACGACGACGAACTATCAAAATGGAACAGCGTATAGACATATCATCGCTAACAAGTAACACTCGGGTATCATTCAATTTTAGTTTATCTGTAGACTCCTTTGCGATCGTTGGGTTACGGACGCCGCAACCGCGAGAGGCTGGATAGCTGGGGCCATCTGGAGGTGCAAAGAACCTGGGAAGCAGGAAACGTATTCCGTTTCTCCGCTGATGCTCATTCCCAATAGCGATTTTCCATTGACCCCCTTTGCGTATACCTGAAAAAATATATTGGTGTGTTTTGGCCTGGTGTGCAGGCCAAAACACACCAATATAGCTAATTGAGATACACGCACAGACATGGCCGAAGCATGCATCCTTGCGCACCTCCTCAATGTTGCTTGGAACGGTGTTTATTTTGAAATCACTGTTCTGTAAAAGGCCGAAGAAAAAATAAATCACGACGTCGTGAATCGCAAAGATTCCAAGCTCCAGACTACCGCATTCAACCCGAGTCGACAATTTGTACGGCGACGACGGCAATGCAGGTGACAAGGCATGACTGAATGTGTCTGCCTAACAGACAAAATGTTTGCAGAGCAGCTGAGCCTGACGTCACTCTTCTGCGAAGACGTGGTCAGCTGTAACGAGATCTCGAGGTGACCGCGAGGTAGTGCCACTGGTACTGCTCCGAGCGCTAAAAATGGCAGGATTGCCGGCCATTTTTGAATCGTGCTAGATACCAGCAATACAAATCAATAAAAGTGAGTTATCCTTTCCTCAGTTGCATTTTAGGTCGCGAATCGCTGCTACGGGGTCTATAGCTACTCGTTGACGCAAAAATCTTGGCACAAGTAAATTTGATGTCAGTGCGCCTTTAAGGGTTACATGTTGATGCTAAAGAGTCATGGATGAAAACCAAATGAATACAACGCTCACGACACCTTACACAAATGCTTTTGAACCCCACTTCGCACAAGCGCTTACTTTGGGATGAACAAAACATGTCACAGGAGTTAGAGCAGAACTGCAGTCATTTCTACTGAACAAGCTGCGAGGATGTGTCAGGTCCAGGCCCCCTGAATTTGCACAACAGATGCAATCCCTGTTGGTGACAGGGCTGGCAATATCCATAGGTGCATGCTGCCGCAAGCGATGTGAAAATACATTTCAAACTACCTCACACTTGCACATCCCTATTTTTCATAGCAAGAACACAAACACATTTTATTTAGAGCACCTAATACTTGTAGTACAGTGATACAAGCTGACGACACTTACCTGGATAGACACTTGGGAAAGAAACCACCCGTTCAAGGCCCAATTTTTAGAATGGCTGAGCGACATATTGGCTGAAAGGAAAGAAAAAGTATCATTTAAAAATGTAGAACTAATTAGAGTCTTTGTTGAAAGGCTTTCCCATGCTCAAGTTCTCTGCCTGTTTAAAAAGATTGGCTCATTAATGAAAATTTTGTAGGTAGCATTCACAGTAAGTTCATGTGGTTGCATTTCACAGGAATTTCACTCAATTCCAGCAGCTATATTTCACCTGGTAATGCAAGATTAAAATATAGTAAAACTGAACATCACGCCTAAACTAATCCACGTAGTGGAGATAAAATCCAGCCCTTCAGTGTTATCTGGGCAGTAACCATGACTGAGCTAACCAGGACCATAGTAGACTGCAAGCAGCATGAGGTTCATGTGATCACACAAATGCTGGAACTAATTTATGAAATTTCGAAGAACTTACACGATATTGGTTCACTAACATTAGCATTGAAATACATAGAAGTGTTCCCCTAAAAGGACATTAAAAAGAAAAATGATGTTTCTTGTATTAATTTTCATTGCCCTTTCACTAGAAGAAGATCACAGCCCCTACTGCAAAAATACTGGTGGTAAGTGAGAAAACGTAGAAAAAAAAAATGTGCACAAGGCATTGCCTTCATGGAGATTTTACACCAACTCACTGATTTCAAAAATTTTGATGGTGTCTCTTATGGCTCACTTAGTTCTTAATAGCTAAAAATGAATTTAACTGTCCTTAGGGAGTCAGAAACTTGTAAAGGTGCACTGACATAAAATTTCAAGCTCGAGCTTTATCTTCATTTGATTGCTCAAGTATGCACAAGTATGGTTGGGCCAAGTTTGAATGGTGTCTGTCACCTAGAAGTTATTTTATTTAGAGGGCAAAGAGCGTAAAAAAGCTCAAAGGGGGCCTTCAGCACTCTGCGACATTAATACTATTGTGACGTGTTCAGTGTGGCGCATACCATCCCAAGTGACGATGCGCTAATAATGATGATGTCGACAATTTGAGTTTTCTTATCATGGCACTGACAGGTGCTGAAGCTAGCTGTAAATGCCAGTTCGCTGACAAGTACTTGGATTGACGTGTTGAAGAGCGACTGGCACCGACGCCAGCCCGCTCTCCACGACTGGTCTTTGTCGCAGATTTCATGAAATTATAACAAACAAACCACCAATAAAAACACCACTTAAAGACATGCAAAAAAAAGCATCATTCAATGTGTGCTCGCCAGTCAGCATGTCGGTCAACAGTTGTGAGCTGTTGTCGTGTTGTCAAAAGTGCAGAAAGAGCACAATGAGTGTCACATACGAGCGAGCATGGGCCAAGCATGCGTTTCCAGGCACTTCCAGCTTGTTGCTTGGAATGGCATCCATTATTGAATCGCCATTTTGAAAAGGGTTGATCAAAGCAAAAATGATCTTGTATGTCGCGAATTGTGGCTATTCCAAGCTCCAGACTGCCGTATTCAATACTAGTCAACACTTTTGACAGTGACAACAGCAATGCTGGTGACAAGACATCACTGAACGTGTGTGCCTAGCAGACGAAATATTAGCGGAGCAGCTGAGCCTCTTGTGACTACTTTCTGTGGAGAAGTGGTCAACTGAGGTGCGATATGGATGATTGATTGATTGATATGTGGAGTTTAACGTCCCAAAACCACTATATGATTATGAGAGACGCCGTAGTGGAGGACTCCGGAAATTTTGACCACCTGGGGTTCTTTAACGTGCACCCAAATCTGAGCACACGGGCCTACAACATTTCCGCCTCCATCGGAAATGCAGCCGCCGCAGCCGGGATTTGAACCCGCGACCTTGCGATATGGATGTGACCGCGAAGGAGCACTGTCAGCACTAAAAACAATGGGCTTGCTGGCCGTCTTGAATTGTGTTAAATGGCAATGATGCAACTCAATAAAACAGTTATTTGTTCCTCAGTTGCACTTTGGGTGGCAAATCGCTACTAGGGGGTCTATAACTAGACATAGATGCAAAAATCTCACAGTATGTTATTTTATGTCGGTTCGTTTTTCATGTGTTAAATCGGCAGCCTGCAATAGCTTTTTGTGAAGTCTATCGGGGCTGCAGCGCCCGGACACGAAAGGTTGCAGATCCCAGCCACCCTTGCAGACTTATCACATCGGCAGGCACAGGTTCCTGGTATCGGAGAAATCAGGACTGCAGTAGCTTTTGGGTGTTTCCAAGTTATTCTAATTGGCATAATAATTGCAGAGGTTTCGCATGACAAAACTATGATACGATGATGCGGGGTGCCATAGTAGAGGGCTCCAGTAATTGTGACCATCAAGCGTTCTTAATTGGTATTTACATGGCACAGGACACGAACTCTAGCATTTTGCCACATTTGAAAAGTGGCTACCACAGCGAAGATCGAACCTGCAACCTTCGCTTCAGCAGCCGGGCACTGTAACCACTACACCACAGTGGCGAACAATTATTCTAAACTGCGAGAACAAAAAACTTGCTTATTTTACGAACACCTGACTGAACAAAATATTTGGAACACAGACACCACTTCGTTGAACTGTGTTTCAATGGTACCTACAAAATAGGAGAATTTATCGCATATCTTACCACTAATATACAAGCATCTGAAAATCTTAGCTATGTGCCACATAATAGGTCAAATGTATGATACAGAGCAGAGCTATATATTGTAGACCATGCCACAATAGAATATGTTGCTAAAACAATTTTCACATCCAAAGTATAGCGAGCAGAATTGTGAGTGTATGCAACACGGCAGGCAGGACACATTTACGTCGTCTCACATGGTACCTTATTGAGGAGAGCAAGAAAACTACTTTGATGAACCCCAACATCCACTTGAAGTTGCATGCTTTGACATTGTAATGCACATGCTTAGACTGCAGGTTAATTTTTTATGTTAGCTTTTTAATTACTACTCGCATTGCAGAGGACAGTGCTGCATAAAGGACGTACCCTCGTGCACTAATAGGCGGTGTTAATGATCGTCAATTGTAAGCAGGCAAATGAAGAAAGCCAAGGCTCGCCAAACAACTGTGTTTCTATCAAACACAGTCGTTTCGATCAAGAAGATACATTAGGAATTCAAGGTGCCATACTTTTTGCTTGTTGGCATCACATTGCACGTTACTGTGCGATTACATGCTGTGCGAAGCCAACTAGCAAAAAGTCAGTGGTCCACACTTTGTCATGGCTGTGAGCGGAGTTGGATAGGCCTCCCAGGATTACGCAAACATAAATACCCAATAATATGGATGGGAAAGCAAACACCACTGTAGCTCAAATCGGTAGAGCATTGGACGCATTATTTCAAGGATGTTGGCCCATAAACATGTAGCCTAATTTGCTACAAAAATCCAGCTAAACGTTTCTAACTAGTGGCACAGATAACCTATAGCATTTTTCCCATTCTCTGCATATAGTGTTTAGCTAGGAAATTTTGTACAGTTCACACATCCAGGTAAGCAAGTCTATAAATGAGTCGAATTCACAAAAAATGAGTAAAATTCACCTTTGTGAATACGACTCACCCAAGGCACTCACCATTTTTTAGCAAAAAAGACAAGCTGCAGTATTGATTTGTGCACATATGTAGTGATTGTTCGGAGTGTCGTTCGGCATCTATTAATTCTGAACGTGAACACAGTTAATTTTTGACTAAGAGAGAAAAAGGTTGGGTTCTAAGTAGGCTGCCGCGGTATGGCATGCCTGATGCAAAGTGATCGTCTGCAGCGAATGACATTAAATTTAGACATGCTGAATATGCAGGCCGGATGTTCAATTCATTTGAAGCTCGATGCTTTTTTTTCTTGGCCAACAGTCAACAAATCCATAAAAGCAACCTAAACTGTCAAAAGAAATCTGCCAAAAGCACCGCGGGTCTAAGAGGGCTTAAAAGAACGTTTGAAGACACTAAGAACAGTGATTAAGGTCCACACGCGTCAACGTTGTTTGTGCATTAGCACACGAGTGCTTGTCTTCCTTTCACTTTTGGGTCACGTCAGCCAGGCGGCGGCAGCCAGTGGAGCCCTGGACTTGGGGCCCCACTTATCGAGCTCATGACCCCTGTCCCGAATCCTCGCGAATAAAGTTTTTCCTTTCTTCCCGAGTGTAAGGTTAGTTGTGCATGACGTACTTTTTCAGGGCACCGTCAAAAAGTCGTCGCAAATACTCCAACGATTCTAGCCCTACTTCATTGTACTGTAAACTATACATAGGTCGTTAGCATGTCCTAAAAACAATAAATATACTAGTGCCGTGAAACATATGAAGCGCGTGTACAATGTTGAATTCAAGCGCGCATCAAAGCGACGTGAGACAATCACGCGAGTCAAGAAGTGCCGAGAGTTATGGCGCGAGAAGTGTACGACGACAAAGAGACAAGAAAGTCGTCGTTCTCTTTTCGCGCCATAACTATCGTCATGTCATACAAACTAACCCTAACTGCCACACTTCTAGAAGTGCGCTATGAAAGTTGCCGTGCTCTAGTTGTCTTCTAAGAAGTTAATTTCCGTAAATGCCATCCGGGTATTCACCCAAAACTCTCGATCGTATGATTAGACGATGCGGACCGGAAAAAAAGAAACAATGAGAGAGCAAGGCGTTGCGTTGCAACAAGGTATTGCGTTTCACCTTCGCCGAAAATTTTCTCGCCAAACTTAGTGGCAGTCGCCTACTACTCACTTTGCCCGCCAAAATGCCCTTACCATGCTTAGTATTCTTCACCACGACGTCCACGGATCTGCATCGCCGCGAGTCGCCGGCTTTGACCATGATTTACAATTTACGCAACAAAGCGATACGGCAAACAAACCTACCAAGAAGCGTTGCTGCTGCTACCACATGGGTGATTTGTCTCCGTTAATATCTTCGCTGGAATAGTTGTGAACGCCACAGCAGACCCATGGCGACCGCTATTTATAAGCGACGGTAGCGCCGTCTTGGTTCTGTAGAGAACGCACTTAAAAAAAAAAATGTATACAATTTGCAACAATAACAAGTATTACAGCAAAAGTATGAAAATAATACTTTTTGTTTCAAACTGCGTGTTACTTTTTTAATTAATTGAATAGGTTTTGTGAGTGAAGAAATCTTAGTGCAGAACATGGGCGCAGAAGATTTCGCTCCAGCGATTACCATCTTTTCGCCAGTCGCATCGTACCGATCAATGCCTCCTCTAGAAAGATGCCTGAGGAATGGCTCGCGCTCCCAACGGAGTTGGCCTGCCGTCAGTTTTTAACAAGATCCGCGCGGTAGCGCTCGCGACCGACACTATTATCACGGCGAAGGGCGGTACCAGCCATAGAGTTTCTCAAAATTAACTAGAGGGCTCTCTGGCTCTAGAATGTTGGAAAAAAGCGCGGCGGCCTATGTTGTGGCCGTCAGCAATCGGTGCTGGATGGAATGGATGGATGCTATGAGCGTCCCCTTTATAACGGGGTGGTGACAAGTATGCCACCAAACTCGACAAAAAAAAAAAAAAAATCTTTTTTCTTTTTTTATGTTGGCCTAATGCCTCTACTTTGATAAATTCTATCTTAATGGAAAAAAAGGTAAATTTTCAGCTTAAGTTCTCTGCCATTTACGGCACACTGTCCATATTTTATTTTTCCAATATTTATTTTTGGCCTTTCTCTCTAATTTTCTGCCACCAATACTCTAACCGTCTCTTACTTATTTCAATCGCGGGTGTGTTCAGCTTTCCATTGTTGTCCCTAAAACCCAAGGCTTCCTGTAGGCTCGTGCCCAAACGTACACCTGGGTGGATATCTCCACATTCAATCAGAACATGCTCCGCCGTTTCCTTATCTTTCCCGCAGCATGTGCATTGTTCTTCTTCTTTACTGAATCTTGCTTTATAACTACGCGTTCTAAGGCAACCCGATCTCGCTTCAAACAGTAAAGCGCTTCCCCTTGAATTATCGTAAAATGCCTCCCTCCTTATTTCATTTTTGCCCTTTCGGTAGTTACTCAAAGCCGGTTTTTTTCTCCATAGCTGCCATCCAGTAAATCCTCTCCGCCTCCCTGACTTTTCCCTTAACGCTCTTTGTTGACATATGGCTTACAATACCAGCCGTATATTTACTAGTGAGTCTTCTAGTTCTTTTTCTCCACTGTGTGTCCACGCTCTTCCTATACAAATAACGGAACACCTTCTCTGCCCATCTACTCTCCTTCATATTTCTTAGCCTTTCTTCGAACCTTATTTTGCTCTGCGCTTCCCTCGCCTCAAAACCTGCCCACCCCATATCGCCCTTTACAGCCTCGTTTGTCGTCTTCCCGTGAGCACCCAACGCGAGGAGTCCCACAGTCCTTTGATTTACATCCATTCCCGATTGCACCTCTGCCCTCATGCACACCACTGAGTTCCCAAAAGTAAGCCCTGGAACCATTACACCCTTCCACAGAAGGGTGCTGATGGGTAAGTTGTAGCGCCACAGAGCGCATAGCGGCAAGCGCCAGTACCAGAAAGGGCGTGCTGGCGCTTCGCTCGCTGGGCGGTCAGCATTATACAGTAGGTCGTGATCGGGGCGCACCTCCCATAGAGTTTTCTAAAATTAACTAGAGGGCACTCTGGCGCCGCGATCGTTCAGCGACCGTGGGAATGATGGGTAGCACCCACCGTGGTAGCACCTTTCCTTCCTCCGTGGGTAGCACACACATTTGCCTAGTCTTCGTACTTGCGGGCGGCGAATCGCACTTGCGGCTTTTTTTATTGCCTTGTTTCGGTTTTGTTTTGAAAGGAAGATTGAATGCTTTTGAACTTCGTAAGCCAATTTGGAAAGTAAGTCTAAAAAAATAAAATGGTGAAGCGCTACCGCTGAACATTTGTTAATACTTGTTTCGTAAGAAAACAGCTCCAAGACCACATTCTTCCACCATGTCTAAGACACACGAACACACAAAGAGCCAAAGGTAGGCCAGAAGTACGAATATTAGACAAATGTGTGTACTACCCATCATTCCCATGCTCGCTGGAGTGCCATGCGTTGCAGCTCCCGTAAAGTCCCTCAATAAATTATGGAGGGACGTTAAGCTCCCGTAGACACTAGCGCCAGAGTTTCCTCTAGTAAGTATTGTGGGAAACTCTGGTACTAGCTAAGCGTTTTTCATCTGCAGCCCATAGGAGCGCGTCAGTCGAGAGTTGTTTGAGACCTGCAACTGTGTACTACTCTTTCGGAGGCTATGCAAAGTGTTGCGCTGTTGCACCGTCCGTCACAGGTGACGCTAGCGACCGAGAACATTTTCAAAATTAAGGAGGGAAAGGGTGTGGCAGCTGTTTTTTTTCCGGCAGCGTCTCCTGCCGCGCGGCACAGCAGCCATCTTCACACAAAAGTGGCTCCGGCGCCGCACAGAAGTGACGTCACTTTTAAAAAAAAGTTAACGTAAAGCTATTCAAATGTGCAAATTGTTACTTTATAATGCAATAAACTTACAAAGGCGTTATTAAACAAGTGTGTAACGTGTTTTTTAATGTGTATAAATTAATCATTAACGCATTGTATAAAAATGTTTGTTTTGTACAGTGTTTTTGTAATATTAGTATATATTGCTCAGTTTAACAACCAAATAAATTATTTGTTGGTTTATAAGTATTATTAAAAGGAAAATAAGTTGATTGCTTGTTCTGTGCTCGAGGGTGCAGCGGGTTTGCCCCTGGTTTCGGTTTGGAGCGCATTTTGATCCTACGACTACCCAAATTATTGTATAGTACATGTGTACGTTCTACATCGCAATGTGCCATGTTAACAGCATTCGCCGAACACCGTGTGATAAATCTGCATCGCAACGTCAACAGGGTGTTTCTTTGATAAACCGAGAGGAAATCGGTGGTCTGGTGTCAAATTAATGTGCATCCTTGCCTGTCGACAGAGTGTTTCTTTGGTAGACCGAGAGGAAATTGGTGGTCTGGTGTCAAATGAATGGGCATCCTTACCTTTCGTTCGCAAAATCTATGTGCCCAGTGACGCTGTTCTGGTACCACGTTTACTGCGGTGCGTTTTTCTGTCATCAGAGCCTCAATAAATAGCGCGAACAGCATTGCTTACCCAGTGGCGGAGGAAACGATGCAGCTAACTGCATCGTTTTTGCTTACGGGCCTGTAGTTTTGTGTGTCCTTGTACGTCTCGGCAAGAAAGTGCATCAATTGTTGAACAAGCGTATAAATGTCCAATTCTGCGAGGATAATCAAACATTCCAAATCAAAGGAGGCGGTATTCAGGAAGATCAGCCCAATATGTGCTTAGGAGAAACTTGTTAACTTGTGTCGCAGACAGCACATTATTGTTACTGATTTCAGCAGTGCTCTGAGGGACGAGGATCTTTCAGTGCGCTGCTAAAATCAAGAATGTGTTCCAACTTGCGTATGCTATTTTCAGTTTTCATGCAGCACATTATTGATCGCCTTATATGAAAAACTTAACAAAAAAGTCATTTATGTACGTGCTATGCATGCCACGTTAAGCTTCTGTGCTAACTATACCCTTGCACTGGATATTAAAATGTTTACATGCTTACACTCTGAGGAAGAGATGGTCCGCTTGTTTCTTTTAAACAAATCTGGAATGTTGGCCATGTTGTCGCTTGTGCCTCTAGACCAGGTCGTCATTTCTGGACCACCAAGCAAACCAGCTTGACCTCCCTCATGCCCAGGGTCACACATCTTAATTCATGCGGCTACGATGTGCTGCTGCAGTTCCACTAAGTATGAGTTGAATATGTTCGCAAGTAGACTGCCATATAAAGCAATTGCAGGTGCTCTTCGATTTTCTTTTTTTAGCGCATTATAGTGTAGCGATTGGTTCGCAGGTAGGACTTGCAAACCTTGTACGGCTATGGACAGGGCTGACTATTGTAGCGTCGTATGCATGTAGAAACCTTTTCCAAGTAGAAAGGTTATTACATATCATCAACATAAGAGAAAGGTATACAAGCTGTTTTCATCTAACCTTTCTTCACAAATGAGATAAAAATGACTAACCCATTACTACTTGAATTACTAGCCATACTGTACAGGTTGCCATCAATTTAATAAATGCAACACTCAACGTTGAAACCACACTAATTCATTAATTTCACCTGTGACAGCAATGTTAGTACAGTCAACATTAGGCTGGCAATCCTGGCACTGCACGAGAGCCTCTTTCAATGTTGCCTTTAGCAGCTAGATTACAAAAGCACTAAAATTTTGTCGAAAAACTCACATGATCTACGAAGTCTTCACGTCTCGCTATTGAGGTGACCAGGGCATGGTTGAAAGTGCTGCGATCATATGTCTGACTAAGGAGCTGAAGTGCTTGCTTCATGTGTGATGCCTGTATTGTGTTGACTTGCTTGCATCGGATCCATGCATTCATTGTGCACGATGACCTAAACTGATACGACACATGCACTTTAATCTCTAACAACATAGACAGATTAAGAGATGCCCTTCTTGGCTACTTAGTCCATAACTGAAGCTCAACAGTGGCAGGATTAAAACATGTGGGTCTAAAGGACCGGGCAAAATCCTCCTGACCTTATATGATGGTCTACTGACAAATTTTGTCGCCTCCTCACCTACGCCAAATTTAGTGTTAGTTACAAACGTTCGGCGATTTCAAACTTCCAAGTATCAGTTTTGTCACTTTATCTATCTCGGCTAGTGATAAGGTAGCACATGCCTTACTATAAAAGCCTGTTCAGACTTTCGCCTAACTCAGTTTATTACGAAGCCTATACAAATTGTAGGTTTTGATTTTGATGAGATAAACCTTGAAACTTCTTTTTCTGAGAGCCTTTTAGCCGTATGTTCTCCCCATTTTATTGAACAAAATTAGACGCCGCTCAAAACTACCCGAACTCATGATACGACACATACCTGTTACAAAAGTACGGCGTAGTAAAAGTGCATTTTTGCCTC